AATGGTGACGATGATGGTGGTGGTGATGATGATGGTGGTGATGGTGATGATGGTGGTTGTGATGAAGATGATGCTGTGGTTATGCCCTCAGATTGAGGGTTAGGCCAGGGACCCACGGGTAGACAGTGCTCTGGGCTGTGCCACTTGCTTCCTGTCTTGGAGAGCAGGTTCCCGTGGACACAGCTGTGGCTTACTCATCAGCCAGCTGCCAGACGTGGGCTCTCTCTGATTTTGTTAGGTTGAGCACATGTGGGACAAGGTGGGAGCGTATTCAGTGTCACCAGTGGGTGGCCACATTCGGGGGACAGAGCTGTCAGCCCAGAGGTGACAAGGTAACAGTGTAGCGCTGCCATCGCTACTAGCCATGCACAACACTCCTGTTCGTTGACACTTATTTCTGTTTGTTCCATCTGTCTTCAGCGTGTGTCACAGCCCAGCAACACTCCTCGCAGTGCCGACTGCGTTGCACCTTCCTCTTTACACATTACCTGTGCTTAACATATCGCGTGCATGTTGCCGTTACCTCGCAAACTACCAGCTTGCCTGCAGTTTACATTGAATACTTGTCATAAGCTCACCCATCCTTTTTGTGTCTCATCTAGAGTGCTGTGCTCGCAAACGCATTCTCAAACGCATCTCCTCCAACACTGATGTTCCAACCGGCACTGCGATGGACCTCTGGGCCCTAGCTCCTCCCTCCTGTCCTGTCTACCTGCCTCCCATCTTCAAGGCTAATTTTCATTCACCCTTCGAGGCCCCAGTTTGCTGCTCCCTGTGGAAGCTTCCGTGAGTGTCCAGTGTGGACCAGAAGTGCTGGAGATAATGCTCCCTTTGTCTGCCTCTGCCGTAGTGTTTACTCGCAGTTCACTGTAATTTCAGGCGACGGCTGGCTCTCTGACGTTGCACTGGAACAAGCTCGGGCAGCAGTTTCGCCTTGGGTCTGCTGGTGTTCTGAGCTACCCCAGGCCGAGCTGTTCCCACGGTGGGAATGGGGGCTGTGGTCTTGAGAACAAACGGTCTTTCTGTGGCTTTGCTCCTACTCCCAGTTGCAAATATTCTGGTTCCACGTCCAGCCTGTGCCTTCCCCCGACAAAGTAAGAAATCCCTGAGAGGTAACGCCTGCGTGCTCCTGGCACAGCCCCTCATCTGCCCCGTGGGCCATGGCACCCCACTTCTGTTCCTTCCTCCTTCCTAATGTACCTGCAGCTGATGACTCTACAGCCGAGAAAGAGGAGAAAAGTGTCCTCCGCTGTCCCAAACCAGCTGTGCTGTCTCATTTGAGCACTGGTCTTCCTTCATGTACCACGCGAAGCTCCTTTGGGGGGGGTCTCTGCAATTGGGGCAAATCTCCCTTTATTTTACACTCTGTTCGTGGATCAAATCAATGCTGTCTTGACTTGCCAGCAGTGGCAGAAGTCGGGCACTGTGGCAACACTGCTCATCCTGATACGTCTCTGACCTGCTTTCTGCGATGCTGACTTGTCATGTTACTTTGACCGTTTTTTGGTTTGCTTCTTTCCCTGGGGTTTTTTATTAATTTATTTTATCTCGATTTCCTAAAGGGAGAAATCTGAAGTACGTGCTTACCTCCCAGTCTTCTCTGTAAGTGCCTGTCACAGAGCGCTCATCCCCTCTTTTGTCTTGAGGGGCTGTATTTATGGCATTGGCTCCTTATTCTAAATGATGAATTTTGCCATCCTGTCTGTGTATTTGTCATGCTTTTATTATTGTCCACTTTGGGGGGATTTTAATATTTCCCAGATTCTACGAGCTTCTCCAATCTATATTTTCACCTTTTATCTGAAAATGAAGTATCTCCACTCAGCCTCTAGTGGTGTCTTTTATAAACGGGGAAGAGATCTGGATATCATGTAACAAGTGCAAACTTCTCAGACCCGTCAGATGTCTAATTGGTGTGTTCTGTTTTATTTGCTAACGCTGAACATCTAGCAAGTGTTTAAGTAGTTGTTAATCAATTGGCTATTCTTAAAAGAGGATCTTTGTATGTTTGACTTGTGTGTATTCTTTAAACCATTTCTTCTTCATCAGTCATCCAACAGACTTCTGTCAAGTGCTCATTGCGAATTGAAGCTCTGTAAGGAGTCAGGTAGACTCACAGGCACACAGAGAAGCTGACCACAGGCGATGTCTGCCTGGGTACAAGCAGGTTGGATACGTCCCTGAGGGGCAGTGGCTTTCAGTTTTTTTTAATCATGATGCACATTAAGGAAATATATTTAATGCTGCACCAAAGGTATTTACACACCACACACACACATATATATACACTTACAACTGAAACCTAAGTGTAACTTACAACTGAAATAAAAGTTTCACAGAGTAATACTTGTCTTACTCTGAAGGCAGACTCTGGTATTTCCAAGTCTAGTGAGGTCGCTGCTTTCTACCCTCTAAACTGATTTCACAGCTTGAACAATGCCTTTGTGGTTGACTTGAAGTTGGGGACAATTGATATTGATTTTGTCCTCAAAGTAGGAAATGGTATGTTCACTCTAAAATCTTAGAAGAAAAGAAAAGTTTTCAATTATATAAATAAAATGGGTGAAAATAGGTGAATAGATTATTCGAAAGAAAGCACTGACATGTTTCCTACTTAGCAATCTCGCTCATAAACGCAAAAGGGATTATGCAAAGAAAACCTTAAATACTAGAACAAAAACCTCAGGTCTTACACGTGCTTTTTCTCTCATTTAATTTTATTGCTATATAGTGATTAAAAGCATATATAAAATTATATATCCATAGATAACTATGTAGATAAGTAGACAGAACGTTGAAAGATATACACATGCTCACACAGTAGGACTACATGATAACTGGATTGACTCTAGCAACCAGCATGACGCATCCCTTGAGAATAATTACAGCAGTCTTTTATTAAAGCCTTATTCTCATTTTTCTTAAAGAAGGATTCCAAATATCAGAAGCCTTGCTGCAGTAGAATGAAAAAAATAACACGGTGACTGCAGTTTTCCTCGGGAGCACTGGAGTTACTCTCCAGCAGAGGCAACGGTGCCCGCTGCCGTGAGCCCACGGGGCCCTCTTTTCCTGTTCCAGGTGTTCGTTGTGCCAAGTTTCCCAGTTTCCCATTGAAGTCAACTTGGCTTTCGTGATGCCTACTGATTTCATCAGCTCCCACTGAATTTTGCTTTACAAAAAGTCTCCAGTCTTCTGCCCTCTCACATTTGGAAGAGGGCTTCCCATGAGCACGGGCATCCTTGGTCCTGCTTCTGAGCTCCACCGTGAGTCAGAGGGCAGAGCTATTGTCTGCGGCCCATGTGTCCTGAGGGCAGCCCCTCACCGGCGTCTCCTAGATTAGCAGCCATGGAGAGAAACGCAGAGTGGAGGGCTGTGCTCTGTGGGGTGTGTGCAGAGGAAATCTGTGTCCGAGGGAAGTGGCAGGGGAGGGAGATGCTCATCCTTGTGCTGCCAAAGCCGCTGCCCACCCCAGCCTCCAGGGATGCGTCCTACATGCTCTGCCCTCGGGGAGTCTCTGACACCAGCAGGCTGAGCCATCCCCTCCCTCAGGCTCCTCTGCCCCCTGCAGCTCCCACATGGGTAGGAAGCCGTCTCCCAGGTCCAGGGCGACGCCTGTGGATGCAGCGAGGGACAGAACGTCCAGAGCCCCGGGCAGGTGCCACCTCCCACCCCTCGGCCGTGCTGAACTCCTTTTCTCACTTGCTCCTGTACTGGGAGCCCAGGTGAGTCCCGGGCTGCCCATCCACACAGGCGCATGAAGCAGTGGGACGCATGTGCCCTCAACAGCACCGTGATGGGTGAATTGTGTCCCCCCAGAGCTATGCTGAAGTCCTACTCCAGTATCTCTCTGAGTGCGACCGTATTTGGAAACGGTGTCTTTGCAGGTGTGATCGGCTAAGATGGGCCCTTAGGGCAGCCCTGATGTGACCCGTGTCTTCGTAAGATACGCAGACCCGGAGCAGAGGGAAGACGGCCGGCCAGGGAGACAGAGACAGAGGATGCGGGTAACTCAGCTAGGTGCCGCGGTTGGCCAAGGCTTGGTGGCAGCCACCGGGAACTCAGAGGAAGGCATGGAAGAGTCTCCCCGAGACTACAGCCCAGCCGACACCGTGATTCTGGACTTCTGGCCCCAGAACTGTGAGACAATCCTGTCCTGTTGCTTTAAATCCCAGGTTGTGACACTTCGCTCCGGCAGTCAGAGGAAACTCACACAAACACATATCACTATACCAGGAAGGTTCTGTGCGGAAGACAAGGAGCGATGCCGCCATCATTTTAGAGAACCATGTTTTATTTGAAAGTATAAGATTGTGCCCTATTATTCAACCTGAAAATCAGTGACTTAAACATTGTTCAGGTCAGCTCCGGGCCCTCTCACACCTGTAACAATGACGATACAAGTTAGCTCCTGCTCTGTTCATTAGGGCTTTTGGAAACCTTTAGACCTGCTCCAAAACGCGCTCTCTAGCAAAGAATCAACCTTACGTTTGCTTTTCTCGTGCTGAATTAGCATTAGTTGGTATTAAAACATCACTGCTAAAGCATCAGGCCAAGAGTGACAATGACATCTTACCGGCCCATCGTCCATGAAGGCGCCGTGACGCTGTGTGCATGAGGCGGTTCCCTGTGCACTGGGCCTGGAACAGCAGAGCTTGGCTGGCGGTTACCAGGCTGCAGAGTTGCTATGGCAATTTCAAACCCATGAATGGACCACCTCCCGGAGACGGGGAGGGGAGGAAGTGCGAAGCTGATTCAGTTGTACGCAGGAATACTCTCAAGCCAAATTTGTCAGGATCAAATTTCTGGTAGGGAACGGCGTTTTTAATTATACAGACATGATGACTGTGATGTTAAATATTTACTCTGGATATTCTAGTACAACGGTGTTTGAAAATTAAGTGTATTATGGAAATTTCATGCTCTTTATATATGCTTTGTGGTTATTTCAGGTAACACTGAATTTGTTTTCGTTCGTTTAAATTTGGATCTCTAAAGCAGAATTTTGTATTTGAGATGAATATTTTAAGTTGCATATCCTTGATGTTAAACTGCCTTCATTTGCTCATTTTAGATGATCATGTTTAGAGAAATGACTCTTAAAAAATGTAAATGAAAGTTATTATTATATGTTTTTATTTTTAGATAACATTTTAAAAAATGTAAATTCCATTTTACATCGAATAGTGTAAAGTGTGAGTGGTCTCAATCAGTCAAAAAGAAAAGGTTTACAATTTTAATACTTCGGGAGCCTATGGTAAGGCTTTATAAAAATGACTTACTCAGAACACATTATTTAAGTGTGTTTAGCACTCAGTTTTAGCATGCAGTTATTATACGGTGTTATTCCAGGTGTGAAGTGTGTCTTAAAATTGGGGGATGCCATCCTTATGATAAATGGTTTGTTTCAAGTCATCTGATAAAATGGATGTGATTTGCTTCCTTCCTTTTCTTACTTATGATACATACACTTGGCTTTGTCTCCCCATAAGGTGGCTGAATACAGAACAGAGAAAGATCTGTCTGTGATCTGACGTGGTAATTACTGAAATGCCTCTGTCTGTGACTGAATGTGGTTCAGATTAACCAGATAATATTTATCAGGTATGATCGGGTTGAAATTAGAGCACGTCTAACCCCTGGGAGCCCCGTCCATGCTCAGAGCTGTCCACTTTCCCATTAGTTCAACTTGGAGAACGGAGGAGCATGACTGGTTTACATAACAGAAACCAATATTTGCCCTCTTTTATTCTCTTGGCATGGTCTTCCCAGGGCAACGTTTGCCAGATCCTTGCAAAGCCCCTTGCTGATGATGCATTTCTCCTGGGGTGATACAATGGAACTCTTGAGACTGAAACAATGCTGCCTGAACATTGTTACGACTTTCTGATAGTTCTCTGTGGATCGCTGGTTTTTCTTATAAAGATACAAATGGTTTTAATTAAAACTGAGGTTAGGCATTATAAAATATATTAAGGGTGTTCCCCTTTATTGCATGATCAACAGGGATACTTATTTGAAAATAGCAGTCTGTAGTTTTTCAGTAGCATATGTCAATCATATGATTAATGTGTTGCTTTGGATCAAACTGTACTTTGAACTGTTGCAGCCGAATGCATGTCTATATAGATGCTGTCATCTAGTTCCTGTGTATAAGCCCATTTAGAGCTGTGAACATCCCGACTTAGGGAAAAATGCATATTCAGAATACTAAATAAGACATGCCACTCAAGCAAGTAAATCAAATAAATCCCCTGGTACTGAGTCACTTTTGGAATAATGGTATATTTTCTGGTATGCAGGTAGAACATCTATTCCAAACAGAATCTCAGGAGGCAAGAAAAGTATTTCTAAATACCACCTCCCTCTGTCAGTGCCTTTACAGCATGTCTGAGTCTGGACTCTGTAATCAACTAGACCCTCCAGCTCTACTTGTCCAAGTAAGCTTTTCACGGAAGAGGCCCCAAGTGTCGGAGAACACGGGAGCAGGCAGGGGAAGTAGAAAAAAGGAATGTCTATTTAGAAATCACGGCCACAGCACCCACTGGCATGTCATTCGCTGCAGATTTTAAGGGTGTGACAATGTATTGGTGATGAGCTCCATTTCTAGGAAACTTGCTGTGTATACTGCTTGGGGTACTCGCATTTAAATATGACATTAGAGACAACTGTGATACTATTTTGGTACACTTACAGGGACCAGTGCTGGTCTGGGGGTTTTGTTGTTTTTGTGGGTCTGTCGTAAGTACCGGCATTGACAGAATGTGCTCAGAAGTATTTAGACGGAGCCCAGTTGCCTGGCTGGGGTCTCATCGCATCAGCGTGGACCACACGGGGTACTGCTGGGCCTTGTGATGTGTTGCAGGTGGTGTGAGCTGCGCACTTTAGTAGGACCACACTTTTTCTAGAGCATTGTATTGAGGTATGATCGACATGTAAAAAGTTGTCGATGTTCAGTGTATACAACTTGATGCACTTGGAGATGAATATGTACCCATGAAATTATCACCAAAGTCAAGGCTATAGGCGTATCCAACTCCTTCCAAAGTTTCCGCCTGCCTCCTTTGTTATTGTTAATATTATTGTTATTATTCGTGTGTGTGTGTGTGGTAAGAGTACTTAGCATAAGATCTACCCTCTGGGCAAATTTTAAGTATACAACAGGGTATTGTCAGCCGTAAACACCTGCCAGTAGAGGAGATGCCCAGGGGCCACTCACCTTGCAGAGCTCAAGCTTTGGGCCCTTGACCTTTACCTTCCCAGCCGCCCCTCCCCCACGCCTGGCACTCCCGTCTACTCTCTGCTTCTCTGGGTTTGACTGTTTCAGGTGCTACATGTAAGTGAGATCATGCAGTATTTGTCTCCCTGTCTGGCTTATTCCGCTTGCTGCAGTGTTTGCTGGGTCCAACATCCATGTTGCTGTGAGTGGTAGGACTGCTTCCTTTTTTGAGGCTGAATAACATCCCACTGTATCTTCCTTATCTTTTCATCTGCCAGTGGACGTTTAAGATGGTTCCCTGTGCTGGCTGCTGTGAATGATGCTGCCGTGGCTGGGGGTGCAGATGTCTCAGGAATCCAATTTCAACTGCATGACCACATATTTACCCACAATTCCTTTTCAAAAAGTCACTCATACAGATAGTTTAGGAGGCACTGGTGTGGGGATGTAGGCCAAGGGCTTCTTTCTGTCAAAAGATCCAATATCATAACCTTATAGACATGAACTATAATGTATTCAATGCAGAATACCTTTTAAAGAGAAACTAATTCTGATTCTGACTGGGAACAACGGAACAATTACAGCAAAAACCTGCCACTTCCCGAGTACCAGGTGTGTTTTTGGCACCACGTGGATTTCTTCACTTCCATTGTGTTACTTAATTCATATAAGACTCCTGACGTAGATGATATTATTCTCATTTTAGAGATGAGAATACTAAAATGGAGACTGGCTTTGTTGCTTGCCTGAACCTTAACACAAGGGGTAGGTCTGGAATTCAAGCCTTTTGCTCAATCTTAGGCTTTCCTGGCTGCACCATGAAGAAGTATTTAACTGAAAGGACACCTGACTTGAGCTAAAACAGAGAGGTGAGGGCAAGAAGGGAGACGGCTCAGAGTGGAAGCGAGGCGCCACCTACGGAGATGGGGGCTGGAGACCACCTCAGGGTGGCAGTTAGAGCAGTCT